ATGTAGGTGTAGCCTGGCTGTTGTACTGTATCCACCAGTCTCTCTTTTAGGAATAGTTGTATTTGTTGTATTTTCAAAAATATATATGGTTTTGGCAGGAGATTTCTGCTGCCCTACTCACACCACCATCTTGGCTTCTCCCTGTAATATAGCTTTTTTAAAGCTGCTGTTTGACCTCTGGTTCATAGAAAGTTCATAGACAATAAAAGTCCTGGCCTCTTCTGCTGCTCACTTAGGCTTTGTGCTCCTACGCTACAGCAACTGATATTTGAAATTGACAAGCAGGATGGCCAGCACTTAGTGGTTCATTTCAGTCATCTTTTTGGGTTCAGCCTATTGATATATTGGAATGTACCTTGGGCTTAGCAGCCAACAGACCTGGGTTCTGACTCCAGCTCTGCCTTCTCACCTGCTGTGGGACCTGATGGGCAAGTTATTTTGCCTCACTGGCCTCAGTTCCCTCAGATGGGAAGTGCAAATAACAATGCAGCTGGAGGGGTTCTGTGGCTGATTCAGTAAGGTAATGCTTCTAATGCACTTAGAAAAACATTAAGCACAATGGGATGCCTTGACAGGCAGGATTTTGTTTACACCGGGGATGAGCTCCTCCCAGCTGAGGAGTGCAGGTAGACTCTGGACCGCAACACGTCAGTATAAGGGAGCCCTTTTCTCAGTGCATCTGTGCTGAAATGCAGTGCCTACACATCACTGTGGAGCCAGCGGGTGTGTGTGGTTGTGCGTGTGCCCACATATCTTCCAGAACAGATCAAAGATAGCAACCTTAATGTTCTGCTGATGTGATGTGATGCTTTAGTTCACCTTGACTGCATAGTTTGATTCTCCCACACCCTTTTGGAGAACTTCACCACAGTAACCCTTCTGCTGTGTGACCTTGCCCACACATCTTGGCCTCTCTGTTCCTCTTTATTCTAAATTGGGGCCAAAATGACACCTTTGCCATCTCTGCCACAGGATGCTGTAGGCATGTGTGAACTTAGGAGAGGGAAAGTTCCTGGGACACATCATGGATCCACCACCAACTCCTACCCCTCCTTCCTTGATCTTCAATAGGACTCTGCAAGGAAGGCAGGTTGGGTCTTTGAGTGGCTATTGTCTCCCCTCAGGGGAGTGTTCCAGTGTTCAACAAACGTTTACTGAGCACATGCCATGTGCCCTGCACTGTTGCAGGTGCCAGGAGCTCGGCAGCTCTCGGAATGACAGACAATTGAAAAAGAACAGCTCTCCCTCGTTCTCCATACCTTCTGCCCCCATGGCACTTCTGGAGGAGCACAGGCCAGCTCCGTTACAGACTGCCCCAAGGTTAGGTTTGTCTAGTGTTGCCCTGTGATTTGTGCACTTGGGGCAAGAACATCAGAAAAGCGTTGTGTTCTTCTGGGGGCATTGTTTCAGAAAGCTCATGACCTTGATTGTATCCTTCCTGGAGAGGTTAACTTTGACCACTTGGTTAAGAGGGTGTCTGCCAGGTTTCTGTATAAAAAGTCATATTCATTATATATAGAGATGATATGTAATATATGTAATATGAAATTGGTTAGTACTTTGACTCCTTAATTAATAAATAATAGAAGTTTTTTGGGGAGATACTTCAAGGCTGCAGTGGTGAAATAGAGCTGTTCTTTCTCCCCTCTTATCGATATAACACTACAGACTCCTACACCCCTATTTTAACTCCCAGGGCTATAATTGATTAATATAATATTTATTATGATGCTTCTGTTGTACCCATTTTGCACAGTAGACTCCCATTCAGGCTGGCATCTATGTCTATGTGACACATCCTCACCATTCTTGGAGCACTTCTTTAATCTCTGGCACAAGAATTCCAGGCTTATCTTGTACTTTCTCTACTCCCAGAGTCAGCCATTTCCCCAGGGAGCCGTGGTTCCTTTCAGTACAGAATAATATTTAGAAACCAAGACCTGGGCACAGGGATGGCATGATAATCAGATTCAGTGTATGACCGTGGACTGTATCCTTGGACTTATAAAGGGCATTTTTGAGGCAATTAGCAAAATGGAAATAGGATCTGTGGATGAGAGGGCAGTAATGCATCAGTGTTAATTTCCTGATTCTGATGGTTGTATTATGGTTATATAGGAGAATGTCCTTGTTTTTCTGAAATATGCTCTGGAGTGTTAAGGGGTAATTTACTCATTATGAATAAATAAAATGAATAAATGAGAGAGAGAAAGAGAGACTGAGCAGGAGGGAATATGAATGAAGAAGACAGTGAGAGGAAAGGTACACAGGTGGACATGGGTCCTGTGTGCTTGAAAAGTAGCAAGAAACGGAGATGTACATGTGGCAGGCTGGCCAGGCACAGGTGTTTGGGGTGGGAGCAGATGCAGAGGGAGGTGGGGCCCTGCCAGGTAGGTCCTTCAAGTGGGACATCACTGAAAGCTTCCAACAGGGGTTCTGATGTGGCATTGAGCCCTTGCCGTGCTCCAGACACTGTGCCGAGTGCTTTGGGTACACATCTCACTTGCTCTTTGCAGTAAACCTGGGAGGCTTTCCTTGGCATCATTTCCTCATTGCAGATAAAGAAGTGGAAGCTCTGAAAGGTAGAGTAACTGTCTTAAAAGCACAGAGCTACTAAGTAGCAAAAGGAGTCCTGGAAGCCGCTTTTCTGAATATGACCCCAAGATAGAGACCCAAGTGGCATCAGAAGGTTCCTCTGCTCTGCTGGCAAATATACCCCAGTGCATTCTTTTTAGGGGACATTTGGTACATGTGCCATGAGTGTTGGGGGAGAAGCGCCCACTTTGTGATTCCCTGGGATTCTGCTTATGAGTGTTAGTCCTGGTGTGTCCATTTTCCCACTGAGTAGAACCAGGGCAGTAGCTAAGGCCTTGTTCAAAAAGATAATCCCCACCTGGGGAATTCCAAGAGCGCTACATGGTGAACAAGGGACCCACTTCACTGGACAGATTATTCAAAATGTCTGCAAAATTTGGCCCATCTATGAGCATTTTTGCTATGCCCCTACCCCCACAAACCCTAGGACTTGTAAAAACTTCTGAAAACATTATAAAAGAACAATTGGCAAAAATCTGTGTGTCCCTTAGCATTCCATGGACAGAGGCTCTGCCTTTGGTATTTCTCAGCCTGCGTTCCTCCCCCACAGGACAACCAATCATGCCCTTTGGAAATTATCACTGGGTGCCCATGCGCCTTGAGGAAGGACTTCACCAGCCTGTCTGGTTAAAAGGAGACCCTCTGCATTATTGTAAAAAGCTTATTAGCATCCTTCAGGGTGATGCTGAACTTGTGAAAGACTCCTTCCGCAGAACGCTGGTGGGAGATGAAGGATCATAGCATACTCTGCAGCTGGGAGCCTGTCTCCTGAGAAAGGCTTCAGCCTGAGGACTCCCTCCTGCCCTGCTGGGAGGGACCCCACCAGATAGTGTTAACTAACTCATGAGCAGCCAGGCTCAGGGGCACTGACTCATGGGTTCCTGTTTCCCATTTACAAGAGGCTCCTGACCCTCGACGACCAGGAATCCACGCCAAGGCCAGACACCCAGAGTGAGCTGGCCCAGACCTCAGGACAAGGATGAGAAGCAGATGTCACAGGGGTCTGGGACAGACAGCTGACCCAAGTACAATGATCCTTATGACTACTCAGGTGCAGTGGGAGCTCCTGAGCTTGCCGAAGTCTCTGGACTGTTATCTCTTCATAGTTTCACAGTTTCGTCTTCATCGCTGGTGGAAAATTCTGAAGTTCCTTATATTTGTTGTTGCTCTGATTCTCCTCATCCCATTACTCCTGTTAGGAAATCCCATGAGGCCTGGAGACTTTATCCTCACCCCTGACTGAGTCACCCAGAGTCTTCTGTTGGCCCCATTTTTAAAATTCAAATTCGATTCTCTTCTTGATAACACTTAGAAAATTAGGAAGCCCTTTGTACTTAACCAAGGAAAACTTTAATCCTATTAATTTCTTTCTCCACCCTGGCTCTCTCTTTATACACTTGTCCCAGTGTTTAGCCTCGGCTGCTGATCTTAAACCACTGGTTTGTTGTCATCGCACTGAGCTTGGGACCCATATGTAACCGCCACCACCAGCCCCAACAACATACAAGATCCAGTCACCACAGACAGTGCCCCAGCTCCCTGCTCCATTGTGTCCTCCTTACTCCCTACCTACTGTTGTGCCAGTCATGCTCCTTGCTGTTTGCTGCCCTGCCAATCTTTTCCAAAGATTTTAATTAAAAAACAAGCATAATGCCCTGCAATGACTCCTCAGATTAAAGAACAACCTGTACACGTGTACTTGGTGTAGACAGCTACTCCAAACCTATCCCCAGATGCTCAGATAAAGCGGACAAATGTAGCACCCAGACAGGACTTTTGATATTCTTCAGTTCCTGCTGAGATATCACAATAGACCATAAGTTGTGAAGTCCCAAACCATCTGGATGTAGTCAGTCAACTCAGGCTTGTGGCTGGGCTTGACAAAATAGCCAATCAAATGTAAATCCCAGAGTTGCAGTTTATGCTATGCCTACTGAAAACCTCTCTGCCTCACCTTCTGCAGAGCACACCTTCATTTTGTTCCAAAGGCTGTGTCCCCAGTTGGCAAACTGTTCTCCTTTTTGCAGTGAAGATCTCTCTGATCAGATTTCTCATCTTCCAGGAAAATTTGTTGACAATAATAACAAAAGAATAAAAATAATAAATAAAGGCTAAAATCCAATGGTGGACACATAACTAAATACTACTGATAAGATGTTTAGGATCTAAATTTAGTGGCATGGAATATTTAATAACATAAGTTTAAAATTCAAGTTTTAGTATATAGAGGGCATTGCTGTTTTGGTTAATAGAATTCATATTTATCTCCCTGTTTAAATAGAAACAGATCTGGAATAATTGATATTAATATGTAAATGGAGTTATTGCCAGGACTTCGGATTTGGGGGGGATTGGAATTGTGTTTTCTTTGAGGGTGGCTGTACCATCTAATTTGTATTCCCCAATCATATACCGTGAGGTGTCATTAACACAGTAGTGCATGATTCCATTTATATAAACTACAAAACAGTGAAAGTGATCTGTGGGATTAGAAGTCCAGGTGGTGGGGTAATGACCTGAGGGGGCAATACCAGGGCTGTTTAACAAAAGCACAAAACCTCAAGGCTGTGTAAGAGACAGTTAGCCTGAGTTTGCAGGGGCCAGCTTACCTGGGCACGGCTGATTCGCCAGGCCTACTCATGCATCGGAGGCAAGCCTCAGGTCGGCTGCCCAGCTCCACCGACCTTACTGGGCTCACTCTCACATGACTAGAGGGCAGCTGCCCGATGCCTAATACAAAATGAGGCTGTGTTGCCTGATATGTAAACAGGGCTCTGGTGAACATGGAGGGCTAGTAGGCCGGGACACACTGGCTGGGGGTGAGGGTGTTGTATCTGGAGTAAGGTGAGTCCTGAAAGCAGTAGCTGTGATGTTGGCGATGATGGGAGCCACGAGTCAGCACTAACACGGCTTGCTTCCTCTCAGCAGGTGCCTCAGGATCTCCCAATGGGGTGGCTTCGCTCTAGGCTCATGTTCCCTGTGAGCTGGCTGATCCTGGTGTGGGTGGCAGGCTCTGGTAAGTCACCACCTCTCATTCATTCACTCATTCATTCAGCAAATGTTTATTGACTGTTTACATGTCAGGCTCCTGAGATAATCAGTGAACAAAGTAAAGATCCCTGGCCTTGAGGAGATTACATTGTAGTAAGAAGGGACAGCCAATGGTAAAGGGTCCTAATTAAAAGTAAATTCTAAAGATTGTTAGAAGGTGATAAAAAAGGATAATATAGAACAGAATAGGGAGGATTGGGGAAGCTGGGTGGAGTGGGAGGGTTGCATTTGAGCATCTGTGCTCAGGAACGTCCTCATTGAGTGATAGTTGAACAGGACTTGAAGGAAGGTGGGGGCTATACATGTGCCTCAGGGAGGAGTGTTCTCAGTGAAGGCCCTGAGTGTGAGGATCTGAAAGAGGCCAGTGTGGTGGAGGCAGTGGCCAGGAGGGAAGAGAGGAAGTCAGCCAAGTAACAGGGTGGCCAATTCAGGAAGGTCCTTGCAGGGTTTGAGCAGAGAAGCCACATGATCTGCTGCATTAAAAAAGATCCTCTGGCTGTAAGTACAAGGGTGGAGGCTGGGAGGCCAGAGAGGAGGCCCTGCAGTAAGCCAGGTGGCTTGGATCAGCAGTGGAGATAAGAGGAAATTGGCTTCTGGATCCATCTGGAACTTACATGTGAAGACTGATTGGCTTCGAGGTGAAAGAGAGACGTGTCAAGGATGCCCCTAGGCTTCTGACCTGAGCAAGTGGCAAGGATGAGGTTATCATTTCTGAGATACAGAGGAGCATGTGTTTGGGGGACTGAGAATCAGGAGTCAGTTTTGGACATGAGGTGAGTTTGAGATATTTATTAGATAATCTAAGACTCTCCTTAACATGATAAGCTCTTTTATTCAGCAAGCAGATGCCAACTGATGTCAGTTGTGATGGGGCACCGGCATAAGGCACCTGCCGGGCAGGTGTGGGTAGTCTGGAGCTTGGGCAGGGGCTCTCAGATGATTTGGCAAATGCCGTATACATACTGCAGGGTTCAAATCCCAGCTCTGCCACTGATTAGCTGAAAGAAGTACCATAGCCTCTCATCTTGCCTTTGATGTTGGCATCCAGAAGACAAGGGCACTTGAGAGACAAGACCTTGGGGGTCAGCCTCCTGAGCACAGAGAGGGAGGAGAATAGATGGGGGCAGGGAGCGGGCAAATGGGTAACAGCTCTAGGGCAGATGTGTGGTATGGTGGAAGAGAGCTCCTCAGACTGTTAGGTATTTTTCCCTTAATTTGGCCGAGGGTAAGTAGTTGAGTCTGCAGAAGAAAATAGGACCCTGCCTCCGAGGGTATTTCTTCACCTTCAGCAATCGCCCCATGCCAGTTGGCCCAGTCAGCTGCCCTGGACCCAGCTCTATGAGGATTAGCACACCACCATGTCTAGGACCATAGTTTCCTTGGTTTTGACAGGCTCTTGGACTGGCTGTTCAGTCCAGCTGCTCAGCGCTCTCCTGTGTCTCCCCAGGGAGTGTTAAGGTCCTGAATGCGCCCACTTGCTTCTCAGACTACATCTTCACCTCCACCTGTGAGTGGAAGATGGATGGTCCCACCAACTGCAGCAACAACCTCCGCCTGTCCTACCAGCTGAATTTTGAAGGGTTTGAGTAAGCCTGTGCTGGGAGCTGGGAGGTGGGGAGGCCGTGCCCAGAGGGTTTGCCCCGGGATCTCACCAGGTCTGGGCGGTGTGCCCTGGAAGGCATGGTGCTAGATGGGGTTCACTGCGACCTGCTGGGCATGGTGTTGGGGGTGAGGTGCCCTAGGGCACAGCGTGTGTGAGATGGAGCAAGTGCACCACAGCTCCAAGCACACTGTCCCCAGAGAATACTGGACTGGAACACTGGGTATTCAGAGGGTAGAATACTGGACTAGACCGGTGGTTCTCAAACTTTTTGATCTCAGGATGCTTTGGCTTGCTTAAAAATTAGTGAGCTAATAGAAAACTTTTTTAAATTTAAAGTTAGTTTAGTTTAAATTTTTAATTAGTGAGCTCAAAAATGCTTTTGTCTAGGTAGTTTAAATCTATCAATATTTACCCTATTAGAAATTAAAACCAAGATTTTAAATCACAACACATAAGCCTGCACTCAGTGAGCCATCGGAGCAGAGGTTCCATGTCATGCAGCCTCTGGAAAAGTCCACTGTACACCTGTGAGAAAGTGAAAATGGCAAATTATGTTTTAGTATTATGAAAATAGCTTGACCTTAGTGGATCTCAGACCACACTTGAGAACTGCTGGACTAGACTATTGTTTGGAGGTACAGTGTAAACAGTGGAGTTCACTGTGATGTTCGGTGAACCATAGAACATGGGGCTTCACTGGGCTAATCCATGTACATGGGGTACCACTACAGGTCCTGGTACCCATCCAGGACGTGACTGGGTACACAGGCCTGCAACGGGGCACACTGGGAGGTACAGCACCCTGGAATGTAGGGTACACTGACACATTTGGTTTTCCACAATATACTGAGGTAGACAGGCTGTGATTCTGTTTGTGGTACATTGGCCCAGACCAGGGATCTGCACACTATGGCCCATGGGCTGTATCGGCCCACCATCTGTTTTTGTAAGTAGTTGCCCTGGAATACAGCCATGCCCATTCGTTTATGTTTTATCTGTGTCTGCTTTTGAGCTACAACCAGCAGAGTTGAGTAGTTGTGGTAGAAATGGTACAGCCCTCAAAGCCCAAAATATTTACTATCTGACCCTTTATGGAGAACGTTGGTTGATCCCTGGCCTAGCTCACGAGATGTGAGTTGGCTGTTTTACGTGGCACGTAGGATTATGTTGGGGTGCATGGGGCACATGTCTGTGGACAACTTACCAGGGCATGCCACAGTCCACTCTACACTGGAATAAACTCTGTTATACAGAGTTACGCTGTGATACATACACGGTCTTACAAATTCTTTAATGTCTCAGGTTCTTCCCTTTGACTGGCTTTCAGGGATGAACCAAGTTCTGGGACCAAGACCATGCATGGCAAGGGGTGTATAAGATCCATGGTGGGTACTGGGAGGGGCTGGGACCAGCAAGGAAGACAGTCCTAGTCTGCTGTCCCCACAGCACCCTGGCCTGTCCACTCCCTAGTCCCCAGATCTTGGAGACAGAATTATCAGGAAGCTGGAAGCTCTTGTGGCTCCTTGAGGCATGTCCCCGGGACTCCCGTGGGTCATAGCCAGCCTAAACACAACTGGCCTAACACATTTTCTGTGTCTGCAGAAACCACACGTGTGTCCCTGAGAACAGAGAAAGCACGGTTTGCGTGTGCACTATGCTGATTGCTGAGCCGGTCATAGCGGACGTCTATCAGCTAGACCTGTGGGCTGGGAGGCAGCAGCTGTGGAGCGACAGCTTCAAGCCCAGCTCCCATGGTGAGCAGGCTGGGGAGGGCGGGGCTGCAGGTGCTCCTGCAGCTGGGCTCGAGGGCAGGGGTGCAGGCTCCATTTCGGGGAGGGGGTCCAAGCAGCCTCCTGCATGTTCCCAAACCTAATGCAGTCCTGGCCCCTTTCTGGGCCTCGTTCCTCCCATCTTTGAAATGGAATTGGACTAGTGTATCAGGTCCCCTTCAGCTCTGATATCTCAGCTCCCTGAATTTAAGTGCCCAGACTGGGGTTTGGGATGAAGCATGTTTGATACATGCTGGATTAACTCTGGGATGAAGGGACGCTTGCTGCCAATCCAAAACTGAACTGGGGACTTCCACCCTCTGTCAGTTGGTCAGTTGCTGCTTCATCAGGCAGTCTAGACCGTGGAAGGCTGACCTTATTCTGGTACCCAGAGTCCCTGCAGGAATTCCCCCACGAGCTTGCTGGGGTGTAGTGACAGGAGTTTAAAACACCATTTTTCTGTGTGACCTTGGGTAAGTCACAATACCTCTCTGAGCCTCGATTTCCAGAAGAAAATGATTATGCCCATTTTGCAGTGGAGTAAACGAGAGTACAGAGAAGGCAGGTCACCTGCCTGAGATCACACAGCTACTGAGCAGCCATGGCAGTACTCTTGCAGGGTTCACAGAGCTCCCAGTCTTCTCCACTCCATCAGTAGTTCCTGAAGGGCCTGTTCGTGGTGTGGGGGGCCAGGGGGTGGTTTCAGTTGACCCATGAACCAATCTATGCGTTAAAGTAATTTTTACAGGTGTATGTTAGTTTTAATGCCTACTGTGTACCTGTGAATGGATATGATTGCTTAAAAAGGGACTAAGTTGTAAAACACATGACTCAAAATAAAGAGAAATACTTATTAATAACTAATAATATAATACACAGATGTGTGAGAGAAGAAAGGGAAAAGAAGAGTTTGGGTTACTGTGCGTATACACTTTGCATTCACTGTAGGAAGGTAGTTAATAACCACTAAACCTGTATGGTTTCCCACAAATGTACTACGGAAGCACTGCTGACAGCAAACCTAAATGACCCCTTGGCTGCGGGATATGTCCCCTTCTGGCACCTCAGCAAGCCACTCACCAGGTACCACTTCTCTGCAGTGAAACCCAGGGCCCCGGGAAACCTCACGATCCACCCCACCTCCCAGACCTGGGTGCTGACGTGGAGCAACCCGTACCCTGATGAGAATTACCTGCATCGGGAGCTCACCTACCTGGTCAACGTTTCAAATGAACATGACCCTGCGGATGTGAGTGGGCACTGTGGGGTTTCTCCGCCACCTCCTGGGACTTGGGCAGGAGGAGACTCAGGCTCTGGGGCCGGACAGCAAACTCAGGGACCTAGACTTGTGCTCAGGCCAGACCCTCCCTGCCTCCAGGCCTCAATCCCCAGGGGCAGAGAAGGGAAGTTATTTCTGGGCACTGCGCTCATGTGTAAAGGAAAGCTCTGGGGTCCAGTCTATATCCTGGGGGATGGGACACTTGAGATTTTAGGTGGGTCCTTGGCTGCACCCTGAAGTGACCAAGTCCCACAGTGAGACAGTTGCTGTACATTGGCTCCCTCCCAACCATGACTGGCCAAGGAAGGTGCCTCAGCTGAGCTGATAGGTTTATTAATCCTTTTAAGCAGAGAGAAGAGGCTGCAGGCTCAGAGCCTTCTCTCAGGAAACCCTTTCTGCCCTCAGCAGCGTCGTCACCAGCCTCTCATGGCATCTGGTGCTTGCTTTCCAGTCATGCATTCATAGCGGGGTTCACTTCTAAATGAATGTGTTGACATTTTTAAAAAAGGAGAGCTGATGTACAGGAAGCCATTAAATAAGGGCAGGGCCGTGCAAAGGAGATGTCTTGCTCCCCTCCATTGTAGTTGCGGTGGGGTGGAGACTGCTTCATGCTGCCTGTGTTTTCCCCTCATGTCGCTGGGGTCCCACAGAGCTGGGTCCTAGCACTTGCCATGCCACTTGCCAGCTGTGTGAACTTGAGCATGTTGCCTGACCGCCTTGTGCCTCAATGTGCTCATCTGTAACATGGGATAACAAGGGTACCTACCCCAAGGTCTGTTGAGAGCACAGAGTGTGTGATACAGACCAGCTCCCCTGCCTGGCACAAAGTACCTGGTGAGCATCCTCCTGTTCCGAGTGCTGCAGGCCTTGGAGATCCCCATCGGCCTCCCTGCCTTGTCCTGGCCTTTGACTCCCTCTGACAGAGTGATTGAGGGTCTGCTCTGTGCCACAGTTGTGTTCCAGGATTGAGGCTAGCCTGGCCTCAGCTGCCAGGGAGCAGGCCCCAAACGCCTCAAGATCCCAGTAAGCTTCTGCCACTGTTTCCTGTCTTCCTGGCCAAGCCAGGGAGGTGTTGGTTGTTGATTTATATCTCTCAGGTGTGGTTTCCCCCTTGGCGCTGGGCCAGGCTGTGCAGTAGGAGCAAGAATAAAACAGCTGTGCTCACACAACGGAGGCTCAGAGAGCAGGGGGAGGGGGCCGCACAGATGCCAAGGAGAGAGGCAGGTTCTACTCGGTCAGTAAATCTCTTTCCCATGTCCTGAGCCCGTACAAGGCTTAGTTCAGCATATAGGCTGGAGGGAGAGAAGGCTGTGACCCAGAGAGTCCAAAGAAATGTTATTTATTTGCTCATCATGGCTTGCTCCAGGTTCCAGGAATCTGTCCATTTCCTGGCCGTGCTTTAGTCTGTGTTGCCTCATTTTTAGGCAGTCTCTTCCCTTATGTAGTGACCAGTGTGCCCACCGGCAGCTCCAGGCCTACATGCCAAGGCTGCAGTGGGAAGTTTTTCTTTCCATGTTTTTCTTTCACAGGACTTTCCTAGTGAAAGTCCTGAGGCTGAGGTTCAGTTGCCTGGTCGGATCATGGGCCAGTCTCTGAACCTGTTACAGGCTGCAGGCAGGAGAGAGGGGACTGGTGCTGCGCTCAGACGGGCCAGGGGCGGGGGTGCTCAAGCCCACCTCTGGAGCTGCAGAAGGGGTCCACACCACCCAGACCAGATGGGCTGAGAATGCGGAAGGGTGGCTCCCCAAAGGAAACTGGGGAAGGGAGCCAGGGACTGGCAGAAACGCAGCTGCATGTCGGACCTAGGGCCAGGCACTAGCCAGGAGACAGAATGGCTCAGTGGCCATGCTGTGCTCAGGGGTGTCCCAGGCCAGCTTCTCTTGTTGGTGGGTCAGAGGCTACTGAGACACCCTTTACCATGTTTTCCTTCCCAAGGACAGAGCCCAACCTGAAAAGCCCCTCATTATTCATTGGCCAGAGCTAGTTAGATAGATGCTCTATGCTAACCAATCACAGGCTGGGATGGGATGGCCATGAGTGGTTTAAGCCAGTGAGCATTAACCCTGGAGCTGGAGACAGAGGCCCTGAGCTTTGGGTTCCTGACCCCAGTGGCTAGATGTGTGGGTGTCCAGCTGTGTTTGCTGTAGTATTGCAGACACCAGCTGTGGCTCAGACTGATAGGATCAATTTTTTGTTTGTTTGTTTTTCCTTTTTTATTGAGATGCAATTGACATATATTACCTTGCTTCAGGTGTACAACACAGTAATCTGACATTTGTACACATGGTAAAATGAACACCACAATAAGTCTACTCATCATCTGTCACCATATGAAGTTAGTACAATATTATTGACTATATTCTCTGTGCTGTACATTACATGGATGAGATCAATTCTAAGAAAAGATAATAGAAACTTGCTGTGGGATTTTGGAGATAGAACTTCTCATTGTCCTGGATGGTTTCTGGACAAGGCTCCATAGTGGAGGTAGAGTTTGTCCTGGGCATTTAAGGACGTAGAGGAATTTTCTACATCGGGAAGGAAGGGAAGAGTAGGCCAGGCAGAGGAACATGAGCAAAGGCTTGGAGGTCTGAAAATTCATGACTTATCTGAGGAATATGGGGATGTGGGAGTGTGTATAGTGAAAAAGCAGAAAATGAGGCCACAAGTCTGTTCAGAGTCATGAGTGTCATGCTTATGATCATGATTATCATTTCTTGTGAGCCTACTCTGTGCCAGCCACCTTTGTTATTACCAATGGTTGGCAAAGTCCTACATATGGGACCATGATGGTCTCTTCATTTCAGTGACATGGAAACTGGGGCTTGGAGAAGTGGAATGACTCACCCAGGGCCCCATACTAGAAATGGAAAAACTGGGATTTGAACTTTGGAGACTATGCTGTTTTTCCTCTCCTGGATCTTTCTCTTAGGGGGTCCCCTGAACACCTGGCCTTTTGTTAAAAACAAACCAACCACAAGCAGTTCTCTGAAGCTCTGATTTCTTTTTTTATTTCTTAGCAAAACATTTCCCAATCTCCTCATCTTCTCCAGGGTGTGTGATTCCTTTGGCAAATTAGGCCCAGCTGTGGCCTCCTGCTTGCTTATGTTTGGAAAGGAAGGAAGGCCGAGAGTGAGTGTCCTCTCCTGCCCTAGTCCCCTGCAGCTCCTACCCCAATCTCAGCCCCCTTGGGAGCTCCAGCTGGCCTCCAGCTTCTCCAGCAACCCACTGGGGCTTTGCTTCCTCGTGCAAAGCCATGTCTCGGCTCACGTTGCCCCAGACTATTTCCCCAAATGTGCTTCCAACCTACAAACGGAAGCAGAGCCACCAGCTGCTGCGAAGGGGCTGCAGGACCAAGGAGGAGGGAGAGCATCAAAGGGGTGGACCCTTCCTGGAGAGGGACTCTGGGCAGAGGATCGGGGCCTCTCCCTTGTCTTCAGAGTTGATCTTGAGAATAGATTTTATTTCCTTTTTTATTTATTTTTATTTTTATTTTATTTTTATTGAGAGAGCATCTCTCATATTTATTGATCAAATGGTTAACAACAATGAAATTCTGTATAGGGGAGTCAACGCTCAATGCAGAATCATTAATCCTCCCCAAGCCTAATTCTCGTCAGTCTCCAATCTTCTGAAGCATAACGAACAAGTTCTTACATGGAGAACAAATTCTTACATAGTGAATAAGTTCTTACATGGTGAACAATACAAGGGCAGTCATCACAGAAACTTTCGGTTTTGATCACGCATTATGAACTATAAACAATCAGGTCAAATATGAATATACATTTGATTTTTATACTTGATTTATATGTGAATCCCACATTTCTCCCTTATTATTATTATTATTATTATTATTATTTTTAATAAAATGCTGAAGTGGTAGGTAGATGCAAGATAAAGGTAGAAAACATAGTTTAGTGCTGTAAGAAGGCAAATGTAGATGATCAGATGATCAGGTGTGTGCCTATGGACTAAGTATTAATCCAGGCTAGACAAGGGCAGCAAGACATCCACGGATGCAGAAGATTTCTCTCAAAGCAGGGGGGGTGAGGTTCTGAGCCTCACCTCTGTTGATCCCCAAATTCTCACCTGATGGCCCCCCTGCGACTGTGCCTGTCTTAGGTTGTTCCTCCCTTGAGGAATCTTACCCGTCTCTGGCTAACCAGTCATCTTCCGGGGCCATACAGGGAGATGTAAAGTTGGTAAGTAAGAGAGAAGCCATATTGTTTGAAATCCTTTTTTATTTTTAAAGGACTTTTTTATTTAAAAAATAAATGCATGAAGTAAAAAATTCAGGTGGTATGAAAGGACTGAGAACGGAAATGTTTCTCTCCTGACCCCAGCTTCCAGTTCCCCTTTCCAGAGGTTGACCGCTCTTCCCGTCTTTTGCCAGAAGGGGAAGGAAGGCCAGGTTAGAGCAGGCAGAGGTCTTGAGGCATGTGTGTCCTTCCAGAGAGGGTTTCTGCCTATACAAGCAAACATCTATGTTTGTACATCACCATGTTTGTTCTCCATTACTACAAATGTAGCTGCTTTAAACAGCACACATTTATTGTCCAGTAGTTTCTGGGGCTTAGAAGTTTGGCGGGGGCTTAGCTGGGTCCTCCACCAAAGGTCTCAAAGGGCTATAATCACAGGGCTGGTCAGGCCTGGGGTCTCACCTGAGGCCCTGCTGGGGAAGGATAACTGCCAAGGCCCTGTGATGCTGGCACTGTCTCTTGTTGGCTGTTGGACTGAGGGCCCCAGGTTCACCTGGTGTCTGGTACAGGCTGCCCTCAGTTCCTCCCTGTGTGGCCTGCTCGAAGCTAGCAAGCAAGAGAGCCTCCTAGCAAGTTGGCATCACACTCTCAGTCAATGTGATCACGTATGTGTCGTCCCTGTGCACCCACTACCTTTGCTTTATTCTGTTGGTTAGGAAGAAGTCACAGGCCCTGGCCACACTCCAAAAGCGGGGATCACACAGGCTGTGATTCACGGTGGAGACTGTGGGGGCAGTCTCAGAGGCTGTGCCACCACGGGGCCTCACACCTCCCCTCCCAACATCTTTTAAGCATAAAAGGCAGCAGACAGCACATACCAACCTTCACCTTACCTTTGTCACTGAACAACAGATCCTAGAAGTCCCTTCACAGTGGGAGCTAGGTTGGGCAGGGCTGAGATTCCAGGCTAGTGAGTTTGGGCTTGACTGTGGAGGCTCTGGAAAGCCCATGACAGAGTGAGAGGGATGCAGTGGCCCTATCTGTGCTTCAGAAGATCACTCTCGTGCTCCCTGCATGCCAGGCCCTGTCCTAAGTGTTTACCTTTTAAACCTCACAAAAACCCTGGGAGGTAGGCACTATTATTATGACCATTTTGCAGAAGGACATTGGGATCCAAAGAGGTTATGTCATCTACCTCAGGTCACACAGCCAGAAAGTGACAGTAGTGACCTTTACCCTCATTTTACAGATGAGGAAACTAAAAGTCAGGCTCATCAACATGCCCAGTAGTGTCACATGACTAATGGTGGTGGGGAGGCAGGCTGAGGACCAGTTCCCTGTCCCATCTGCTCAATTCTGGTCAGTCGTGGAAGTGGCAAACAAAGGCCTGAATTGGAGGAAAAACCAAATACCCAGACTGGGGCCTTTAACACTGTGGGATCAGTGATGGACAGCAGCCAGGGAGCTGGTACTCCTTGCCCAACTTCTGGTGCACTAATGTCTCCCCTTCCTCTACCAGTTCAGAATCTATAATGTGACCTACATGGAGCCCACCCTCCGCTTGGTGGCCAGCACCCTAAAGTCTGGGGCTTCCTACAGTGCACGAGTAAGGGCCTGGGCCCAGATCTACAATAGCACTTGGAGTGAGTGGAGCCCCAGCACCAACTGGACTAACTGTGAGTACTGGGAGTCCTGAGCAGTTAGAAGCTCTGTTCCCCACTTTTATTCTGTGGCCAGATACTTCCCCTGGCCAAGCATCTGCGTTTCCATATTGTAGAATTCCTCTAACTGCAGGTGACAGAATTACCACCTAACATGGTATATGTAAGGCTGGTAGCACTGGAGGGAGGAAAGTGAAGATGGTGCAAACGGAACAAAGAGCACCAAATAGCTCTGTGCCATATAAGGAAGGAACGGAACAGCTCTTCTGGGATTCCAGTCCCATGATGTACAGACAAACCCCGGATGCAAACCCCGGATGCAGAACCCCTCCATTCAGAAGGAGACCTCTGGCTGTCCATTACCCAACCCTGAGCCAATAAAAAATTCCCCACATACCCCTGGCTTGGCCCACTTCCCCCTCCCCTCCCTGTGCTTATAAAAATACTCCCCGCCTATCTAGGTAGGGGCAACTTCTCCAGCCTGTGTTTCAGACTGGTGAACCTCGCCCGGGACTGCGCCCAAATAAACTGCCTGGCCCTTTGTTGCCTCTCGTCGCCTGCTTATTTCGGTTAGAATTTATCTTATAGCTTCCTCGTTTTCTAAAGGGAGAAAATGCTAAGTGTTAGAAATTAGTGAAAATAAGATGTTATTTCTTTCCTAGCCAACTTCCCAGACCCCTGAATTCTATCTGTAACCTTATTGAGGTCTGTGAACCCCAAGTCAAGAATCTCTGCTCTAAGGCCCTGCTATCATCTGTATCTGGCCAACAATAGGAGAGTCTGCACCTGCCTCTTAAAAACCTGAGCACAGAACTGACACATCACTTCCTCTCAAGCAGTATTGGTGAGACCGATCACATGGCCACATATAGCCACAAGGGGTTCTGGGAAATGTAGTCCCTGGCTTGGCAGCCGCATACCCAAAACAACTCTTTCAGTTCTGTCGCACATGGCTTTTGCAATAGGAATATTGACTTATCTCACATAAAATGCAGTTTTACAAGCAGACCTTCCCAGCTCTATACAACAGCTCAGGGATGTCACCCCAGAGTCTTGTCTTTCCTTCCTCCATCAGCCTAGTAGCATTTTATCTTTGATTTGTCACCTCATGGGTCCAACTTATCTTTTGCACATACCCTCATGGTCCAAGTCCCAAAGGAAATGAAAGCACCTCATGTGTCTCTCTTTTTTATCAGGAAGCAAAAGTCTTTCCAGAAGCTTCCTACCAGACCTCCCCTTACATCTCATTGACCACAAGTGTCACACAGCCTCTCCCAACTGCAAGGGAGGCTGGACACTCAAAGGTCTGGAAAGGGGAATAAGATAATCATGATTAGCCCAAGCCCCACGGGAGCCACATTGCTACCTGGCAAAGAAGGGGTGAGAGCTCTTGGGAGGGGGAGGCTGGCTCAGGCACATCTGTACAAGGGGGAGGAGTAAGGGATTTTGTGAACATTCACTGGCCCTTCACAGCACTGGGCGCGGGCGGTTGGCAGGGACCCGGCTCACCCACCATACCTCTCAGCATTGGTCATCATGTTCTGTGGCTCTCTCCTGACCCATCTGTCTCTACTCTGGTCTCCATGGGTAGTAACTCCAGCACCCAGCATAGGGCCAGACACACAGTTGTGCTTAGGGAAATTTTGTCAAATTGATTTAACCCTACCTTTGGGGGGAGGAAAGGAAAGGAAGAGAAATAGCTTGTATGGAACTTACCAATGTGCTGGACACACAGTTTTATTTCCACACATATTTATTGAGCTTCTACTACATGCTGGGCCCTGTCCTGGATTCTGGGGAATCAGTGGTGAATAAAACAGACAAAAATTGCTGCTGTTATGGCTCTGACATTCTTATGGGGGAAGACAGAAAATAAACAGGTAAACAAAAAAAAAAATCGGACCTACACCCAGATGGCAGCAAGTCTGAGACCAACATAAAGCAGGGTAAGAGGATGGAGTGATGGGAGGGGCAACAGGAGAGGGTGTGGAGGACATCTCTTTGGAGCAGGTGTCAGTGAAGTGGGAAGGTGCCAGCTGTGTGAAGATGGTACTAGCAAGGCTATGGACACATGAGTACTGTCCCAAGTACCTTATATATTAAATCCTGTAATCCTTACAATCTGGGACATAAGTACTATTATCAACCCCATCATGCAATGAGGAAACCGAGGCACAGAGAGGGTGAGGGAATTGTCCTGGGCCACCAGCAAGGATATGACAGAGCCTGGCTCCAGAGTCCCTGCACTTGACTCTGTGCTTCAGGAAAGAGAGAACAGCAAGTTCAAGATCCCAAGGTGGCACTGAGCTTTGGAGGAGGGGACAGCGAGGCAGCCAGTGTGGCAAGGGCTCAATGTGCAGGAGGGGACAGGAGAGGGAAGGAGGGACAGTGTGGTGGCAGACAGATGGCCCAGGGCTCGGAGGACACTTTCCTGAGGCCTCAGTCACCAGCTCTGGGACCCAGAGACCAGGCTCTGCCCGGCGTGATGCAGGCTCATGGCTTCCCTCCCGCTTTCAGACTACAAGCCCTGGGAGCAGCGCCTCTCACTTGGCATCAGCATTGCCTGCGTCATCATCCTGGCTGTCTGCCCAGTCTGCTATATCAGCATTATCAAGTGAGTCCCGCACGTGGGCACAGGGTGCCACGGAGCCAGCCCTCTGGGGTGGGAGGGGTTGGGAACTCCCCCTCAGCTTTCAGTCCTTTTGTTCAACCATAAGTATTTATTGAACAGCTCCTATGCACCAGGTACCAGGGCAGCAGGTGAGAACAAGACCAACAAGGACCCGGTGTCCTTGTTGGGGAACAGAAGGTGTCAGGTCAACAACAACTGCAACCATGTTCCAATGTGGGCCAGACTCTCAAGGAAGTATACCAGAGCAAAGGGGAGAAATGTTTCCAGGGTGCTACTTTGGATGGGGAGGCCAGGGCAGGCCCCTCCAAAGAGGTGAGACTTGAGCTGAGACCAGTCTAGGGGCAATGAGCTGCCAAAGAGGTGGGGGACGACTGCCCTTTGGCAGGAGGGAGGTGAGTCACGATAGGTGCCCAGGGTATGGCACAGGCACCTGGGGACATGTGGCAGTGGACAGAGGAACTCTAGATAACTCCTCTGATGGAGGCAGGGACCTGGGATCACATCCTGGCCTTGGAGCTCGGTGGCCACGTGGCTGACACGTCATGGAACCTGTCAAACCTGGGTCCCTCCTTTGCAGTTGAGAGTTTTCTTTGGTCCTAGAAGTTCTGAGAGAGCCCTGGGTTACAGTGGGTGGGTGGTAGAAGGACCCTTGTTTCCAGTGAGCTCGAGCTCTTGGAATCATGGTCTTAGAGCCTCAGTCTTCCCACCTCTGAAATGGGACTGGGGAGCCCTTGCTCAGCCTGTAAGGCCTGGCAGTGGTTCAGGACTGACATGAGTGAAAGTGTCTCACACTTTGCAAGTAGATATGCAGGGAATGCAGATTCCTCTCTCCACGTCTTGTTGCTGGTGCCTCTGAGTGCCCCTGGGCTGGCCTTTTCCCCTTCAAGCTTCAGTTTCCCCATCGCTTATTCCTGTTTCCCCCACCATTCGCTATATTGCAGCACTCCAACTTCTGCTGTTCTTTAAACATACCAAGCGAGTCCTTCCCTCCGAGTCTTTGCATTTGCTCTGCTCCCTGCCTAAAAAGCCCCTTTCCTAGGCACCATGTGGCTCCTCCTCCACCTTCAGTTGCCACTCGAGAGTCATCTCTTCAGAGAGGCTTTCCTGGATCACTCTCTGTTCCTCTGTGTTCCCTTATCTTTATTTTTGTGCATGACACTTACCCCATGAATGAGTGATGCCATGTAATTATTTCTGCATCTGTTTGCCTGTCTCCCTCTTCTAAAAGGTCAGTTCTGTGAGGGTAGGGTTTTTGTCTGTCTTGGCTACTGTTGCATTCCCCCAGGCCTGGCACAGAGAGTGGTATGTAAGTAAGTGCTCAATGGGTGCATATTGACTGAGTAGAGTGAGTACAGGCTAATCCAGAGACTATCCAAGACCCCTCCCTCCCAGCCCCAACACTGTGTGACTCCAGGTGGCCCCAGGGAAAGAGAAGGAATCTGTCTCTTCCCTGGATTTCCTGCAGCTTCTCAGGCCATCTGAGGCTCTCCTATGCTATGCCAAAGGGGCTTGTGATGAGGAAACCCAGAATTCTCTCTCTGCAGCTTGAGCCTCTCCTAACACTCTGGGGCTTGCTCCCACTGAGGACAGAACAGGCCACGTCAGGAACTGCATTCTGGGTAGCAGGGTGCTGGAGCACGGATCTGGCTTCTGCCTGCTGGCTGTCCCTTCACCTGTCTGGGTCTCGGTGTCTTCACCTGTAGAATGGGGTAAACAGTAGAACCTTTCATGAAGTTACAGTAAAACATTAAAAAATCAGCCAACATGGTCTCTGACCCCCAGTGAATATTGGCCACTAGGATCATTTTTATGGGAGGAGCATCAACCTGTCAGTGATTCAGGGACCAATACCTTTTCTTTTTCTTTTTCAGGATTAAGAAGGAATGGTGGGACCAGATCCCTAACCCAGCCCACAGTGCACTCGTGGCCATTGTCATCCAGGACTCCCAGGTAGGCTTGGCTAGGATGCTTGGGCTGCGTGTGTCAGGAAGTGTGATTCACAATGTCTGGGATGTTGAGGTTCTTCACTGGCTTTTGGAATTGCACATGGGAATCCAGGAAGCGTTCAGGTGGATGGATTCAGCACCTGTATGTAGTCCTTAAGCACCCAGAGGCCTTGACCCCCTCCCCACAGCCCCATGGCTCTTCTTTCAGCCGGGGCAGCTTCCTCTGGCCTCTTGGTTTCTTCCCCCTTCCTTGGGAGGAGTGACCCCTCATGTCATTTCCATATCATCTCCTGGAGACATGCCTGTACCAGAGCAGGAGGCCGAAAGAATGGGAGAGGCAGGCAGGCTTCCTGTGTCTTCCTCTGAAGGGTAGGAAACTGTGCCCGAAGCACCGGCAGAGCCCCAGTTCTCACTGCCAGAACTGCATCACATGCCCTTTCCCAGCCCATTTACCTGTAAGGGCCCTGAGACTCAGAGAGCTGAGGTGACCCAGCAGATCTCAGACCTGCACGAAGTCAAGGCTTACAGTCTTTCCACAGCAACACTTCCTGAGCACTGCTGTGTGCCAGGCTGTGCTGGGAGGTCTGTCTGCTCTGTTTCATTGGCTGTGTCTCTATTTTAGGTGCCACTGTGGGGAAAACAGTCCCGAGGCCAGGAACCAGCCAAGTGCCTGTACGTATATGAATTTAGGCCATAACCTCTGTGGATTTGGAAGGTGATGGAACTGGAGCAGTGGGCCCCAGCTTGAGGGTGTTTCCCCGCCTTCAGGAAATACCCAGATGCCTGCCTTCTCTTCCTTGACATTCAGCGCTTGCCCTGTGACATTGGGCTTTGAGCAGTAGCAGAAGGAGGGGTCATCTGAATAGGCGGGCTCCTGACTGAGCCCCCTGGGTTTCACTGAGGGAATCCAGCACATGGTGTCCGGCACGTGGTGAACCCCCTGGGAGTACAGTCTGTCCTGGGTGATAGAGTCAACAACCTGGACAGCTGTGCCAGTTGTGAAAATGTTGACATAATCACACACTGGTTGGCAAATAGCCACTATCTTGAAGCCTTGAGTGTCTCACCATCACCTCAGGGCCTCCTGGACTACCCACAATTCATTAACTAAAGGGTTTATACCTGGCATACCAAGGGACTCCAGGATTCTTCTCTAGCCCTAGGGCTTCACAGCTCTTCTAATTGGTCATTACTTATCCTGGGATGTTGCTAGGTGTTTTAAATGCCATGATCCCAGACAAAGACTTTTCTTTATTCAATAGACTGAGTTTGTATTGGATGCCAGGTTACATGCCAGCCTCCAGAAATCCCAAAGTAAGGCACAAGCCCTACTTTCAAGGAGTTCTCAGTCTAGTAGTGAAGATAGACTGATAGATTATTACTTATAAAGTCAGCAAACATGTCTTTAATAGACATCAGTCCAAGGCGATTTGAAGCTGGGCTTTGAAGGATGACTAGAAATTTTTCAAGTGGTGAAACAATGCTGAGCAAGCTTTTCTTTGCTTTTGCAGACACTGGAAGACTTGTCTTACCAAGCTCCTGCCCTGTTTACTGGAGCATGGAATGGAAAAGGACGAGGATTCCTCCAAGGCTGCCAAAAATGGGCCTTTTCAGGGTCCTGGAAAACCTGCATGGCACCCTGTAGAGGTCAGCAAGATGGTCCTCTGGCCGGAAGACATCAGTGTGGTGCGGTGCGTGGAGATCTTTGAGGCCCAGGTAGGGAATGAAGAGGAGGAGGTGGAAGAAGATAAAGAGAGCTTCTGCCCATCGCCTGAGAACAGTGGGAGCAGCTTCCAGGAGGGCAGGGAAGGCATCGCGGCCCGGCTAACGGAGCACCTGTTCCTGGACATTCTTGAGGGTGAGAATGGGGGCTTCTGCCCACAGGGCTTGGGGGAGTTGTGCCTTCCCCCACCGTCAGGAAGTACCCAGATGCCCTGGGCTGAGTTCCCAAGTGAGGAGCCCCAGGAGGCACCGTCCCTGGGCAAGGAGCAGACTTTTAACCCGGAGTCAAATCCACTGGCTACTCTGACACAAAGCCCAGCCAGCCTGGCTTTCACAGAGACGCCTTCTGTAGTCACAGACAATCCCGCTTACCGCCGCTTCAGCGACTTTCTGAGCCAGTCGTCAGGTTCTGGAGAGCTCAACTCAGACCCACAGCTGGCCGAGTGCCTGGAGGAAGCGGACTCCAGTGTCCTCTCTGCCGTGCAGCCCTCTGAGCCACCCACAGCACCCCAGCCACAGCTGGAAACCTGGGAGCAGATTCTCCGCCAGAGTGTGCTCCAGCACAGGGCAGCCCCAGCCCCCGCTTCAGCCCCCACGAGTGCCTACCGGGAGCTTGTGCACATGGTGGGGCCGCGCAGACTGCAGGACAGTGGGGTGGCGGGCTTTGGCTCTTCGGGAGAAGCTGGGTACAAGGCCTTCTCCAGTGTGATCACTAACAGTGCCATCTGCCCAGGGACATCTCGGATTGAGGCCAGTAATGGGGAAGGGGGCTACAGGCCCTTCCAGAGCCTCACTCCTGGCTGTCCTGCAGCTTCTGCCCCAGTCCCTGGCCCTCTGTTCACCTTTGGACTGGACATGGAGCCACCTCACAGCCCTCAGAACTCATTCTTCCCAAGCAGCAACCCAGAGCACTTTGGCCTGGAGCCAGTGGTAAAGGGTGAGGATAGCCAGAAGGCCCTGCTCTGCCCAGAGCCAGCCACAGAGCCCCTCAGGGATGACCTGGGGAGCGGCATTGTGTACTCAGCCCTTACCTGCCACCTCTGTGGCCACCTGAAGCAGTGTCATGGGCAGGAAGAGCATGGCAAGGCCATCCTAGCCAGCCGCTGCTGTGGCTGCTGCTGTGGAGACAGGTCCTCACCCTCAGTGAGCCCCTTGAGGGCCCTAGACCCTCTGCCAGGTGGGGTTCCACTGGGGGCCAGCCTCCCTCCAGCCCCCTTGGAACCCCTGGGCACGTCAGAGGAGGGTAAATCACCCCTGTTCTTCCCGCCTGACCCCAGCAATACTCCAAGTTTAAGCCACACTCCCAAAATGGTAATGCTCTCCACAGGGCCCACAGGCACGAGCACTTCCTAAGTGCATGCCCTCTTGTTGCTGAGGACTACAGGGGAAGACGGCCCTACCCTTCCTATTAAATGCCTTCCCCAGGAGGGCAGCCAGGCTGGCAGATTTCCAAAAGACTAGGGGAACCCTGGCACAAAGTTTGTAAGATGGTCTGACACGGTGGCCACCGAGACTGGACCCTTCCTGCTCCCAAGTTGGGCCTCGGCTTGCCACATGCAACGGGAGTGGAGGCACTAGGCAGCTATGCCTGCAGCAGGTGCAGGCAGGGATCAGCTTGCGACAAGCCATTGCCCACTTTGTGGGCCCACAGCTTCTCCAGCATGCTGGCCTTGTCATGCCCACCCAAGGCATGTTTTGTCCACCTAACCACTCTGTTACCTATGTCTTGCCCAGTCCTGGGATTAGCTGTCACCATGTCACTGGATTGGATGCTGAGCTTAGAAACTAACCAAGCCAACAGGGGAATGACTTGGGAGGCTTTGGGAAACTGATGAGAGATTGACGTCCAGGAGAGGTCATTTGCCCATTTATTCAACCAAACTTCATTAGGTTGATGTGGAGGGGAGATCTGGACTTTGGGGGGGTGCTGAGTTAGGTGGCAGTAACAGAAAGACATGAAAGTTGGGATTGCCAAGCAGTGAATGTCTGCTGTCAGATCCCCATGCAGCTGCAAGGCTGGGGGTCCCCTGGAGATACCCATTGACCTTGTGAATAGTCTGCCCCATGGACACCATCGCTGGCAGCCTCTGAGAGCCCGAAGGGAGTGGCTTGTGCTCCCTGATCCGACTGAGCTGGGCCTTCCAGACGGCCAGCATGTGGAGCCTGCGAGTTGGCCCAGGACTCAGGCTGAGCGGCACATTTTTGTGTGGGTCTCAAAGATTGTTTTACCACCTGGTACTTGTGTTTGTTGAGGAGGGTGGAACAGTAAGGGGTGGGGTTTTCTGTAATGGTCTTGATCTTTTTGTTTTCATTTATTAAACAAACATACTGCACGGCATTATTGTCAGCACTTTCTCTCTACTGACTTATTGAATTCTCCCCCTAGAAGAACCAGGGCCCAAAAGGTTAAGTGACTTTGTTTCTTTGGGTTCCCTGAGATGGGGATACAGGTGCAATTAGTTGATTTAAGAGGTGATCCCAGGAAACCCTGTGTGGGGCTGGGGCAGTGTGGTGGGGAGGGGCAGGAGGCAGTGAAGGCTGTGCTGTCAGAGAGCCAGTGTGGACAGCGTGTGGTCAACCCCACTGGGGAGATGCAGAAAACCACACACAGTGCCTGCCTAGAGAGTCCCTGCAAAGGCGGGCAGCTGGGGTATTTGTCCACCAACTCCTGTCTGTCTGGTTGAGGGCTGCTTCTGAGGGCATTGATTCCCCAGCACCTGCAGCTGCTCCAGGAAATAAGTCCTGAGACTGAGCTGAAGATGTGTGAGTAGTCGTTGGCGCCCCAACGAGCTGCAGTCAGGACACTGGCAGCGGTTGCCACACTTTGCCGAGATCACATAGATATTAGTGGGCACATAGTGCCCATAGCTGAGCCCAGCCTGTGTCTCCATGGTCCAGGCTGTCTGTACATGACCCGTGTTTGACATCTGGGCAGACGGTAGGCTGGAGTGGGCCTGAGGCTGGCAGGCAGAGGATCTTAAGCTCGTGTGCCTGTGATCAATTTAGTCTCTGAGCAGCTGCCTAACTGCCACACTTGCAAAATGAGGGGCTTAGTTGTGTGAGGTTCCTTCCTGCTCCGGCATTCTGCACAACGCACTAGATGAGATGGCGAGCTCACTGTCTCCCTGCAGCCTAATGTTTTTTAGGAGCCTCCTTCGTGCTGAGCCCAAATCTATCCCTTTAGCTATTTAGGTCACCACCCTGAATCCCGACACCACAATTTACAGATGGGGAAGCAGCACTAGAGAAGAAGAGAGTCTATCTAAGGCCCCACAGTGAACAGCAGAGCCTGAACTAGCTCTGCACAAAATGTAATAATTTAAAAAGAAGTATTTGGAGCCAGGCAATATGCTGAGTGCACTACCTTGATTATGTCACAGCCCTAGTTGGCAGATTCAATCAATATCCCCATTTTAAAAAAGGAAGAAGAGGCTGAGGCTCAGGGCCACTCAGCTAGGAAGTGCTGGAGGCAGGATTTGAACCCAGGTCTGACGGTGGGCAGGGCTCCTAGCCAGCATGGTATGCCTTCTCATGTACAGGATGGCACCTCCGTGACTGTCAGCACTGATCCACTTGGCCCGAGCATTGTCTCAGAATACCAAATTTTAAAATTAAGTAGCAAACAGAGAAAATATATTTGTGTGAGTGGTGGAGAGGCAGTTGGGTTGGAAGTCCAACACAGAATTGAGGCCAGACTCATTTCCCCCCACCATCTTTTGAGAAAGAGACCTGAGCTGCCAGCTGAGGCTCATCTTACAGAACTGACTGGGCTTTGGGAAGCTCCAGCTAACAGCTGGAGAACTGGACAGAGACACCTCTCATCTCTTAGCCAGATTTAAACCCACCCTCCCCAGTTCAGGGAAGCTGGAGAAAGGCCATTGTTCTTGCTTCCCCACACCCCTTCTACAGTTTAACCCAGGAAGGAGGAAGCTGAGAGGCAGAAAAGCAGAGACTGCACTTCCTAAAATTTAGTGAGCATTTGCCATGTGCCAGGCATTATGCTGGGTGCTGAGAAAAAGTCCCTTCCTGTCTGGACCTTACAATTCAGTGGGTAGACAGACAATAAAAGACGAAAGAAAAATTACAAACACTTGCTATGAAGAAAATAGGGGTCTGAGATAAGAGGAGCTAACAGGGAGGCTTTTAAGGAGATTACATTTGAGGGACATTTGAACTGAGCCCTCAGTACCTGGAAGAAGTCAGGATGGGCTGGATAGACTGTAGATTCTGGGCAGAGGGTAGAGCAAATGCAAGGCCCCTGAGGTATAAGGAGTTTGGCATGTTCATAGTTGAGAAATATTCACTTTCAGGCTGTGAGCCAGGGACCATGGTGAGAGATACAAGTGAGGAATTTACATTTTGGCTTAGTGCACATTAGCCACATGCACTGAGAAAAATGGTCCTCTAGAAACCAGTCTTCAATCTCCCCAACCCTAAAATACAAGCTTCCCATAAGCAGGAGCCAATGAGAGAAAGTGGAGTCCCTGGACATCTTCCTCCAGTAGGACCCCTTCCACATCGCAGAAGTGGAGGATCAAGATTCCTCCTGACAGCATTGACCCGAGTGGTTACAACCCTCCCTGCTGATACCCTCCCGCAGGAGCCAGGAGACTCCCACCAGGAATGAGCTGATTCAAACCCAAGAAGGGCTGGCTGCTAGGGCTCTTCTTGGAGTATCTGTGACAGAGGACTTTTAAAAAAATCCCCATAAAATCTGGTCTTTGGCCTCCCAGGAACTAGTCTCCAAATTAGGCAAGGAATCCCAAGGCTCTTTGGGGCATGAAGCCCCAGCTCCCTTCTCTGCTACATCCCCTTTATCTGGCCCGTGCCTTAACTTTCTCAGTTGTAAAACAGGATCTGTTTCACACACACACAAAAAAATCTATGTCATAGGGTTGTCCTGAAGACAGTCTCCATTATATTCGTCATCATGTCTTGGGTCTCCTTCAACCTGGGCAGGATACAGGTGACAATGGAAAGGTACAAAGAGCTTAGAAATCGAGGATTCTCAGCCCAGTCACTGCTTCGGGCTTCTTCCCAAAGCTCCTTGGTAAGTCCCTGATGGCTGTAGCTGCACAGCCTCAGTTCACTGTGACTCTGGAGCTCCCCAGCCTGTGCCCTTGCTGGGACCCCCAGCTGTCTGACTTATGCCTGCTCTTTTGTCGGTTGGGACTTCCCTGCACTAGGCCTGGTGATTCACTCTTTTATTTTTTATGGTATCATCAATATACAATCACATCAGCAACATTGTGATTACTAGACTCTCCCATTATCAAGTCCCCACCACATATCCCATTACAGTCACTGTCCATCAGCGTACTAAGATGCAATAGAGCCACTACTTGTCTTCTCTGTGCTATACTGCCTTCCCCATGCCCCTGCCCCACATTATGTATGCTAATCGTAATGCCCTTTATGCCCCTTCTCCCTCCCTCTCTCTCCACCCACCCTCCCCAGTCCCTTTCCCTTTGTTATTGGCTAGTCCATTCTTGGGTTCTGTGAGTCTCCTGCTGTTTTGTCCCTTCAGTTTTTGCTTTATTCTTATACTCCACAGATGAGTGAAATCATTTGCTACTTGTCTTTCTCCGCCTGGCTTATTTCACTGAGCATAATACCTTTTAGCTCCATCCATGTTGTAGCAAATGGTAGGATCTGTTTTCTTCTTATGTCTGAATAATATTCCATTGTGTATATGTACCACATCTTCTTTATCCATTCATCTGCTGATGGACACTTAGGTTGCTTCCATTTCTTGGCTATTGTAAATAGTGCTGTGATAAACATAGGGGTGCATATGTCTTTTTGAATCTGGGCTTCTGCATTCTTAGGGTAAATTCCTAGGAGAGGAATTCCTGGGTCAAATAGTATTTCTATTTTTAGTTTTTTGAGGAACCTCCATACTGCCTTCCACAATGGTTGAACTAATTTACATTCCCACCAACAGTGTAGGAGGGTTCCCCTTTCTCTGCAACCTCACCAACATTTGTTTTTGTTTGTCTTTTGGATGTTGGCCTGGTGATTCACTCTTCATTCAAATATTTACGAACTAGTCCCTGAGAGGCAGCTGTTAGAACAAACAAAACAAAACAAACTCAAATTATGAGCATGGATCAAAGTTTTTATTTTAGATTTGCAGAAAGGGACTCAGAAAAAAGGGAAAGAGAGAACATTGGTTCAAAGGACAGTTTGAAGAAGGGATTTTATAGCAAGACAAATGAATGTCTAGACCATTGTCCACCAGAACTTTTTGCTATCACGGACAGTTTTCCCACTGTCCAATACAGTGGCCATACTAGCATGTGAAATATAGCTAGTATGACTGAGGAACTGATTGTTAAATTTTATCGATTTAATTAACATTTAAGTTTAAATAGCCACAGGTGACTAGTGATTACAGTATTAGACAGGGCAGTATTGGACAGAACTAGTAGATGATTTTAGTCCAACGTACCTTTATCAGCTGCCTCAGTGTGGAAAGGAAGAGGAAAAAATCTGGAAATTTGAAAGAGGTGAGAAGACAAGGGGACTTGCCCCAAGACAGCAAAATGCTGGCGGAGTTTCCCAGTGTTCCCTGCAGGGCTGGACCAGAGGTGCAGGGAGCAGGGGGGACACTGGGGGAAGCAGTGCCAGAGGAACTGGGCCTGCAGACCCCGGGAGGCCTCTGGCGGTGCTGATTTCAGGGTCCATCTGGCCCAACCCTGCACAGCTCCAGCCTCAATTTAGATTTCCCCCAGGTCAGGGTGGTGACTGTCCCTGCTTTAGTTTTTTTTATTTTTTATTTTTTTGGTGATATTATTACAAAAAACCTGCATATTGTTTTTTTCTGGTTACTAAGTTGGCACATGCCAGCCTTCAATTCAGAGAAAACTTGAAGCTGTAAAGAGGAAAGTGAAAACCACCGGAAATCCCATCCCCCACCTCAGCTCTTGGCACCATGTGGGTGATCATAAAATGAATGTTTGTTTTTGAAGGTGTATCTCCTGTTGAATAACCTTTCTGACATTATTTTCCCACAAGTTACTAATTAAAAAGAAGAAAAATAGCAAGAAGATTCTGAGCCCATACTTCAAGGGAGCCTTAAGCTCACTGGATCCCCACAGCAGCTGGACAACCATGTGTGGAATTGCCCATGATGTGCCCTGATTCCCAATGCTCTTGTCCAGTATTTGCCCGTATTCATATACCCCTTGTCCAGGTGAGAACACTGAGGCTGAGATAAGCAAGGACTCTTCATTCATCCAGTCTGGGTTTGAACTTGCCTTTGTCAGTTTGGAGCTGTGTGACTGTGGGCAAGACACTTGACCACTCTGGGCTTCAGTTTCTGCTCCTCCCCCACAA